GGATGGGGCCGGGAAGAACACGGGAGGTGTTCAGTCCCGTGGACTGCCGGACGGCCAGAGTGCTTCTTTGAGGCAGGGATGTGGAGACGTTGTCATGTGGTCAGAAGAAGCCAGGCCCTGGAGAAGGATGTCATGCTCGGTGACGTGGAGGGGCAGTGAGAAAGAGCAAGGCCCTCAACAAGGTGATGGACGCAGGGGCTGCCGCGGTGCGCTCACACGTGAGACCACCACGAGGCTGGCCGGGAGAGGGCCGTGTGTCCTTCTGTTGTACAGGGGGCTGTTGTGAATCAGAACCAAGGGACGGCACCTGACAGCAGCAAGCCCTTAAGGGAGAGCTCTCAACTGAATCATCTGTCACACCTGACAGACAGACAGACAGACAGACAGACACACACACACACACCCTAAGCCCATTCCAGCAACCCTGCCACGCAGAGAACTGCTCCCCAGGCTGGCTGGCTTTCTTTCTGACTGTTAAGCAGCATTTTATTATCTTATTTTATTTTTTAATTAAAAGATCATTTTATGGGGGCTCTTACAACTCTTATAGCAATCCTTACATAAATTGCATCAAGCATATTTGTACATGTGTTGCTATCATTCTTTTCTAGACATTTACTTTTATTTGAGCCCTTGGCGTTGGCCTCTCCTTTCCCTCCCTCCCAACTCTCATGACCCTGGATAAATGATAAATGATTATTATTTTCATATCTTACACCAACCACTGTCTCCCTTCCCCATGGTTTCTGTTGTCCATCCCCCTGGAGGGGTGTGTGGGTGTCCGGTTCCTCCTTCCTGCCCTCCTCCCCACCTCCCTCCTACCCTCCTGGTACTGCTGTTCCCATTCCTGTTCCTGGGATTCTGAAGCTGTAAATCTTTAAGGAAGCAGACAGCCTCATCTTTCTCCTGCAGAGCTGCTGATGGGTGTGAACTGCTGATCTTGCGATTAGCAGCCCTTACTTTACCACATCAAAGTCATCCCTCAGTTCAGCTGGCAATGGAGGTAGCTACCTGTGTTTGTGAATTGCCTTCATGCGTGTCTCCTGTAAGGTCAGGGGATGTGGTAGTTACATAATCTGTTGTCAATTTGAGGCTGAAGAGGGAAGGGGTGGAGTTTAGCCTGTCAATCAGGTCACAGCTTGATGACCTCATTTGGAGGCACCAAAGAGATAAATAGCTCGCTGGAGGCAGGACACAGTCTCACTCCCTGGGAGACATTGCTGCTGACAAGACACACGGAGCTATGCTAGTGCCCTGAGCTGGAGAAGCTACTTAGAGATAGACCCCTGCCAACGCTGAGATGCGTATAACACAGCAGGATCCACAAGACTTTCCACCCACTGGCCTGTGATCTTCTTGTATTCGGCGTTGTTGCATGTGTTTCGTGAGTCTGAAGAGGAATTTATAGATTGGCATTGGACATATGATATCTGATATTGGACTAATATCAGACTATGATTTGATCTGGACTGGGCTGGGATGTTTTCTAAACATACAATTGGTCTTTGACATAAAGTTCTCTCTTACACACATATGAGTGCAGACAGCTACAAGATTTCTAAATCCAATGATCTTAGGAGGGCGAATCTCCCCGCCCTGGCCCCCTGACCCTTTTTAACAGAAAGCTTCTCTCTCCTAATAAGTCATTGCCCTTGGACTATGTCCTTGGATGCCCTTGGGTGTTAGCCACGTGGTGTTGAGATGGCAATAGACCCGCGTGAGTAGACACAGTAGTAAACACAGGATCC